ACATGACAGAAAAAAGAACAAAAAACCTATGTGAACTACAATGAAAATCCCAATAGCACTCCACAAACTGTTCGACTGTCACCCCTAAGGCACTCTTCACACAAGACTACAGCACATTCCCCACACACGCCTGCTTATGTTCACAGCTCGTCTGCTTCCCTGGCCTTTTCGTAAGACACACTTAACATCACACTGGTCTGGAAGTTTTTTCAGGAGGCTCTTACTATACTATGCAATGTGTATGTAACACCGAAATAGAAACCTGTATGAACGACAATGAAAATACCAACAGAACCCTACAACACAAATTATTTTTCCTTCAACTGTCACACCAAAGGCGTATTCAGACACGACAACTGCGTGTTTCACAAGTACCACACTGCTCATTTTATTTTCCTGTCCTTTCTTGTGGGGCACAGTTGACATCCTCTTGGTGTTCCGGGTGTCCTAGCAGGTCTGTGGGATGCTGCACCTGCCTGTTCACCTGTCAGCTCACCAGTGTGCTTCAATTTCTTTTGTGTAGTTCCCTAGGCAGAAACATTTTCCTCTGCTGTAAATAATCTCCTGAATTCCAGTCCCAATCGACTTAAGAAAATTTCTCCCTGCTATTTTGCACGTATTCTCTTTGTGAATTACCAAACTATTTATGCCCCATGTTTAGGATGGAGTAAAACACAACCACTGGCCAGTGCTTTGGATTTCAAGTGCCATTATAGTAGCTGCTCAACTCATCAACAAATCTACTCTGCCTTTGGTTTTGTTGTAGAAAGTTCCCATCTCAGCCTTTCATTTTGTTGAGATTTCCCTATCAATATTTCCATCGTGGTGCAATGTTGACATCAGCAGTATCAGTTTTTCACTGCCACATATGAAGCCAACCTGAATCTTTCTGAAATCCAAAGACTGTACAATTGTTTTAAAATTGCAAAATTTCAGATGGAATTTCTGCTTTGTTCCTATGTACAGTTCCTACACTGGTCAACTTGTGCTCTGATAGCAACTGTGACATTGATTGGAAACTGGTAAACCAATTGTTGAATGTCACATGCAGATTAGTTTGGGAGGCTGGAGCAAGTCTGTTCACAGCACCACTTATTACTACACAAATAAGGACCTAGGGGCTTTCAAAATAAATTTCCAAATTGAAAGTACAGTAAGTTTTTGCATCTACAAGGACAAACGTTTAGCCATATTTTGAAGGCTTTTTTGGCAGGTACTCCTTGAAGCTACAATGGCTATGAAATACTGTAAGGTGTTCACCAAGAGTTATTTCTTCAGATGGTGTATAAATTACTTGGCAATTACTCACAAATCTGTCAATGACAGACAGCAGGTAGATTATCAGTTCTTTTTCTTGGCAGGTGCTTTTATCACCAAACCTCAGGCAATTCCGAAGGAAACCAAATCTCCTCAGTGTCACTGTTATTCTACAATGCTCATACCCACACCCACTGATTTTCCATAAATTGTTTACATTCCTGTGATTACCCTGAGAAAGCCCTACTAAGTACAGCAGATCTATGAATGCTTTCAGTTCAGCTAGTGAGGTGCCATAATAAACACATTTCCGCGTATGGCTACTGTTGTTGCATAAAGAATGTTTTACTTGTATTTCAACCTTTGTGCATCTCACATCTTGTAGCATTCTATCTGTTACAATTTTCAACACTGAATGGCAATGCTGGCATTCTCTTCAATGGGTCTCACCCCTGTTAAGGTCCTCACTATATTTTTGGACCTAGTTCTAACACTGGATCGTAGTGCAGCATTCTGACTAGTCAAATTCGCACTCACATTGCTGATTTCTTTGTCATCTGAATCAAGAAGGTCTGCATTCCCTGTACTGCATTAAGTCAACTCTTGCTCCATCTCACTGTCCCAAGGACTTTGGCTCACGTGGCCATGGTCAAAGCCGTCATCATCGTCATTCACCCACACCACTCTTCTGTTATGAAAACACGTATTTTACCATAATGGACCATCTTCGTCATCCATGCATGAGTAATCTGATGACTGATTCACTTTTGACCTCCTCCAAAACTTGCAAATCTAGTTTTTCATGTGCCATTGTACTGAATTGGGCTACTTCTACCAGAAAAATCAAAAGAAACATTTTTTAAAAAACAAAACCTAGAGTGGTGTAGTGTATTACATATACCCTACCTTTGTGATGCTCAGGTAAACATTCACAAAACCTGTTAGGCAGAGGATAATGTGGGTGAAAACCCAAGTTGGATGTTTTACACAAACCTCGCCGTTCTTGCACAAAGTAGGTAAACACAAAGAGTGCTCCCTGTATCTCTCAGGGAAAGGTACTGAGATGCATAGCTGGCTACTATTATGCTAAATTACAAATTAATGCTAGAAAAATATAGTGTGGATATATTTAACCTACTGTAACACTCTAACAGTTAACAGCCAGCTGTGGACCTAAGGAAGTGAGTGAACTTTTTAAGAAAATTAGTTTCGTGTGCATTGATAAGAAACGATAAAGGCTTCCCCTGCACCTTCTGTCCAACTTCTGCTGATGGTAACACGGTATTTTTATTTATTTGTTTGACCAGGCATAGAACTTGGGTCCTTGAGCCTGAATGGTTCCAGGCTTAACACTTTATATCTAGGTTAGCAGTCAGGACAGTATCACACAAAGGAGCCAGAGAACTCCTCACGTGTCTGCTATCATACTTGCCACGCTGCCCTTTTGCAGGCATACGCCCTTCCTCCACTCCACCAAGCTCTGTTTCTGCTGTTTGTTCCCAAGTGGAACCATCAGCATGCAACCTTCGGGTCTGGCTTTGGTTTGCTACTCTGCGAGATGCAATCAGCTTGACTCAAGTGCTGATGGTGTCTTCTCCTTCTGGATGTTGTTCCATGCCATGGATGTACCATGGCACAGTCACCTGCAGAGAACTCTAGGATCTGGCTCTAAGAAACACAGCTACCAGGAAACGAACCTGTGCTTGAGAATGTATGTGAGCATAGCCTTTGCCTGACTGCTTGATCACACGAATTAGCTACATGTTTACACTGCCTTGTGACACACGTTGTAATCCCAGCACTTAGAAGGCTGAGGCAGGAGAATCATGTCAGAAAGTTCAAGTCCAGCCTAATCTACACAACAAAGTCCTGTCTCAAAAAAAAAAAAAAAAAAGTTTGTAAGAAACTCTCAAAACATTTTTCCAAGTTGCTGAACTGTGTCACACCAGCATCACAGATGTGTGGGTCTGCCCCATTCCTGTTCTCTCAGGGTTTTCCTGGGCTCAGAAATCTCCCTCATCTAATCTGAACCGAGCCATCCCCACTTGCTTTTATTACTGGCTGCACTTGGTGCACCCTTTGCCATATCTGCTCTCCTAACCTGCCTTGACACTGTACCTAAAACGAGTGTCTTAGACACAACATACACTTAATTTTATAATTTTCCTTATCTTTTTGATAGATTGAACTATGTTGCCAGAGCTGGCATTAAATTTCTAGATTTAAGCAATCCTCCACTCTTCCTGTCTCAGCCTCCTGAGAAACCGGAATTACAGGCACACGTCACTAGACCATTTTAGTTTTTGTCTTCTATTGCTTCTTTGTTCTTCAGTTGTTTTCTTTTTCCTGCTATCCTGAGTTTACCTTGAATACTTATAGCATTTTCCAGCACACTTTTTTGCACAGCATCTAGAGTGGGTGCTCTGTTTAACAGTATCTCTATCTGACTGGGCAGCTTACTGGTGCTCATTGTTGTAGCAGTTTCAAGAGGTAGAGAAAGCCCAATGCGGTCATCCCAGCACTCAGGAGGCTGAGGCAGGAATACTGCCATGAGTTCAAGGCCTATCTGAACCACAGAGCAAAACCCTGTTTCAAAAGGCAAAAAAAAAAGTAAATTAAAATAAAAATTTAAAAATCAAATGAAGTGGAAAAACATGCAACCCTTTATGTCCCTTTACTTCCCCTCCTTTATTATACAACTTTAAAGAGAAAGTAAGTACAGAGATAGACGGGTAGATTCCCAAAGAGCATAGCTATGAATAGCAACCATTAACGCTGGGCAGAATTAAATGGAATTATTATTAGTGAATTTCTTTCTTAAGTCAAAGGCCTAAAAAGACTAACAAATAGGACAAAGATAGAAGTGGGCAGTAAAGGAGAAATAGTGGGCAAGCAAGCAAGCAAGCTTTACACAGAGCTGGGAGAAGAGGTCCATGGTGTGACCGACCTTGGACAGAGGAAGGATGGGCGGGGCCGGGAAGGGCATCCCCGCCTGCGCCTGCGAGTGGAGAAGGGCTGCTTCCCACAGAGGAGACCACAGCCAGCCCTTGCTCAGAGCTTCCCAGGAAGGAGGGAAAGACAGAGCGCCTCTGGAAGGCTGGAGTTGAGCCCTCTGCAGAATGGAAGAAAGCAACCTTGAGAAAAAGATCATTCACCAGCAGCACGTTCACCATTCACCAGTAAAGCTCTGGCTGACATGGAAAAGAAATGCGGAAAAAATTCCAAACTTTTATACATTTTCACCCCGCTTTTCTGAATTTAGAAACAGAAATGGTACAAGATTAAACCAACCCAGGAATGGAGTTTTACAAGCCAGTTAAAAAGAGGATAAAGAAACAAGAAAAACTACTGATGAAATTGTCCTAACTTCTGTGCACATGCAGAAGCGTCTGACTTAGGCTTGGACCTTAACATCAGACCTGAAGGCAGGAACGGCTGGACTTCTCATCTTGTTTAATTTGTTCTCTACCCTAGCCAAACAGGGAGTCCAACAGCCAGGAAAATGGCACTGCGACAGCTGGCTGCTGCAGAAAAGCTCACACACGCCCCCTAGCCGTGGCTGGAACGCGGCTCTTGACTAATCTCCAAGCTGTTTCTGCCTAAGGTCTATGATCAGTTCCTCCAAACTCACACTGGATTCGCAGGGCTTTTCTCAATGCAAAGGGCAACTAGTGTGACATTTTCGAAGTCATTTTAAAATTGATTTTAATTCGAAAAAAAAGTTTATGTCCAATTCTAGAAATGAGAAGAGGGCTTGTTTAGCTAAAACATTAGCTGGGGAGTAAAGCATTGTGCCTAATTATTGAGATGTGTGTTTCATATGGAATGAAACAAGATAAAATACATCTCGAGAGTGATGTAAGGGTTGCGCTCCTCTTTCCTTATTCTCATCCCCCACTGACGGTCAACACAGAAGAGGACGCCAGCGTCTCTCTTCCCTGGCCTGAGAACCAGCGCGTGGCGAGCAGCCGTCACACAACGGGTGTCAGGGTCAACGGCGGCATCACAGCGGCCCTAGCACTCCCATTAACACGAGACTTCAGCTTCAAGGCCTAAACACCTTGTATTTCTCTCTTGTTCCCAGTTTTCTGGTATGTGAGAAAGACACACAATGGCAACAAGGAAAGTTGACTGTTCTAAGATCGATGTGTATATTAAAATTAAGTGTCGACATTATGACGGAAAATAAAACGTAAGACCACTACTTTTCCATTACTAGTGAGCACTGTGTCCAGAGCCAAGAGGACCACGCAGAACCCCAGACAGCTGAAGACCTGTGCCCAGCGCCAGCCTCGCTTCTCGGGAAGAGCACTACTGCACCGCACTGAGCTCAGCCAGCCCTGCCCGTACAGAGCCTGTTCATGTCTCTCCCGTCTCATCTAAATCAAGCAGAATTAGAACGCTCCTCGGGCACTTCATATGTATGACAAATCCTAAGTAGCCAAGCCCTAAGGAAAGTATAAAAACTTGGAAATCCATCTCCCTTTAATACAAATTTTTTTATTTAACTTCATATTTCTAACACACATAACAATTACACCTCAATGTTTTTCTTACCTAATTTTACAGGAAAGCCTGGAGGAAGCTTCATCTGAACAAATTCTCTAAGCTTGTTAAAGTGCTTGAAGGGAGCTATTACTTCTAAAACATTCAACAATCTGAAAAACAGAAGGAAAAAAAATGTTCTCATTGTTCAAAGTAACTTACTTGTGTCTTTAAGTAACTTCAGGCTTCAAACTTAGCAGTGCTCACTTCAGGATGTGAAGGGTGCGGAAACTGCTTTCTCCCTGCCTCCCCAGTGGCTTCTGTTCTTTTACGGAGGGAAAGGTTTAAGATCTCCCAACTCCTCGGGTAGCCAACGTGAGCCCCTTATTCACAGAGGTTCAGGCTGCACTCTTACTGCTCCTACAAATTCCTCCGTCCCGCAGTCAGCTTCACAGCTGCCCGGCCAGAACTCACTGTTGTTTGTCACGTGTGTGAAGGGGCTCAGGTGCTTCACATCCTCCGGTTTCTTGCACATTTAAGTGAGTGTTCCCTGTCTTTTTACCTAAAGCGAAATCTGCCTCACACAAATTTCAAGTTATACTTATTATCTTTTCCTGTGAACTAGAATTTCATGTCTGCCTCTTAGTATTCTATATCACTAGTCAATTACTACAACTGTGCCTTCTAAGCCAGGCGTGGTGGCTCACGCCTGTAATCCCCACACTTGGGAGGCTGAGGCAGGAGGATCGCTGTGAGTTCGAGACCAGCCTGGGCTACATAAGTGAGTTCCAGGTCAGTCTCAACTACACAGTGAGACCCTGTCTCAAAAAACCAAAACAAAACAAAACAAAAATGAAATTCCCCTTCTAGTTGGTGGGTTTTATTGTTATTTTTCTTTCAACAAAGGTCTATGCTTGATATACTACAGTATTTGTTAAATTCTTTAGTTTCTGAGTGCTACCATCCTCAGTCTACTTTCATATATATATCATCTTCCCAGGGCCGGGGATTTAGCCAGTGGTCTGCTTCCTGCCTCACAAGTACCAGGTCCTGAGTTTGATCCCCAGTACCAATACCAAAAACAAAAAAAAACCCTTGGGAAAAAATCTAACATCTTCTCTAGACATGCTGATCAGAACATACTTTCCTTGTTTTTATCATATGTAAAAAAATATTTGAAAATCTAAGGTCAGGCTGACTTTACCCTTTTTTGCCTAAATGCCTTTAGGTTTATTAACAATTGAAACCCAACAGTTAAATCAGGATAATTTTTGTTGATTATTCTCTACCTCTTTTTCTTAGAACCCAATCTTATCCTATAGATTCAATTGAGCCTTGGAGAAATTTTTGCTTCTAACATATTTTGAATGCCACACTTCAGTTACACCTGGGAGGCTTTCTATGCAAGTGGAACACCAATGATTCTCACAGTACAAGATCTTTGTTCAGTTCTGTGCTCTAGTTTTGATTTTCCTCCCACCTAGCACAGGCTGTCAGCCACACCTACTTTTCTCACTGTTGTTCCTAACATGTTTTGTAGTGGTGCTGACCAGTGTTCAGTTTATTTCTGCAGCTTTACAATCTTCTCATTTTATTCTTTTGATCTTCAACTCATCTGAAGAGTGATCTAGTTACTGATTTCATGTTCTTTATGTTTTTCCACAACATGTACAGAAAACTCTCTTCTGTTCATTGCCTGTCTTATTGTAGAATGAATTCTTTATCTGGCTTCTGCGCGTGGAGGTTATTTTGGTTTTCTCTTTTTGGTGGTACTGGAGACTGAACCTAGGGCCAATGTGTACTCTAGGCAAGTGCTCTACCACGGAGCTACAACCTAAATTCGCTGTTTTTAAAATTTTCATTTTGACACAGGGTCTCACTAAGTGACCCAGGCTGGGAATAAACTTGCAATCCTGCCTCGGCCTCCCAAGTAGATGCAATTTCACACAGTTAACGCCACTGCTAGCTGACTTTTCTTATTGTTTGTCAAGAGAAGCAGTTACATCTGCAGTATCTTGTAAATACTAAGATACTCATTTTTTCACATAACATCTCTGAAACTGTAATTGCTCTTAACTGCTGTCAGTAAGATTATCCTTGCTTTCTTCCCCAGTAGTAAGCACAACACAGAAGTACAGTGGGTCTGTAGGTGGCTCTCTCTGGCCAGGTCATGCTTTCTGGGTCTTACCTCGCTGGCCACATCTCTCTCCAAGGGTAAACAGAACACACTGTCCACCTTCCTAAAGCGTGGGAACAGGAAAAAGTCTGTGCTGTATGCATGAACTTTCTGAAAAATGTAGGACCTATTCTCTTCCTTAAGAAAAAACAAGTTTTAAGGTATTAGGTTTTCTGCTGGTTTCTTGTTTTTTAACGTATTAGTCATGACTGAATGGGGAAAGACAAAACAGCCTAAAGCTCCAACTCCAGCGCCGCCCCACTTTACTGGAAGAGGCTGACGCTACAGTTCTATCAGGAGTCAGGTCTGTCTGGGTGCTGTGGCACACATGCCTCGAATCCCAGTTGCCTGGGAGGCTGAGGCAGGAGAATCACAAGCTTGAGGCCAGCCTGGTCAACTCAGCAAGATCTTGTCTCAAAATAAAATGTAAAAAAATATGGGGACACAGCTCAGTACAAGGCTCTGGGTTCAATCCCCAGTACTGGAAAAATAAATAAATGAAAGAAGAGTCAGCTCTGCCTACTACCTCCCCATTCCACCTATTTCTCCAGACCAGGTATTTTTAAAAAATGAGCACAGGGTGATACAGGTCTGAAAGGAACTCCTCAAATGTTCCCTGCAATACTGTTGGTAATAGGGACAAACTAAAAATATCAAAATGCTTACCAGTAAGGGAATGATAACATGAATGACAGTAAATCATACTATAATACCAGGAAAAAGAGACAAAAATGTAGTTACTATGAAAATTCCAAGAAAGAAAAAAAAAAAAACTCCAAGATACATATACTTTTAAAGAAAGGAACTCAGGAGAAAAAAAAAATTCCCTTTTTATAAAAATGCAAAGACATTGGCAACACTTTTATTTATAAAAGCACCTCTATTTTCCATGCTTCTTGACTCAGTTCTCAGCACATGTTCTTCTGGGAACTTCAGCAGCATGTGAGGGCTCATGGTTGCCCTCTGGGCCAGGATGCCTGCCACACGGCCCACCCAGAGCCAAAGCTTCCGGGGCGGGGACCTCCCGCTGACCCCACAAGCACTTACGACTCGATTCCTAGGGGGAACTCCTGGCTCATGGCTATGGTGGCTTTGAATGTTTTCTTACTCTCTTTGCACACCAGTTCTCGACCCAGATGAGGAGCTCTGAATTAAAAAACAAAACAAAAACAAAAAAGGAGAGAAAGCAAATGTTAGGAAACTTGCTTCATATGACATCTGTTAATAGTTCGATCTTTCTTACCATCTATAGAAATACAATTAATTATGCTAAAAGGAAACAGAATGTAGATTTTAAGAAAAAAAGTAAAAAGAAAAGAGCAGACTTAAAGTTCAGAAAAAACTCAAAAGTTCATACACAACTCATTCCATATTGAATGCATCTGGGATTTTACTAATAACTATTTTGAGAAATTAAAAAATCACTAGGAAAAACAGGCTTTAAAAAGTATTCAGAGGGCCGGGGATTTAGCTCAGCGGTTCAGTGGCCTGCCTTGCAATCGCAAGGACCTGAGTTCAATCCCACCGGAGTTCAATCCCCAGTACCAAAAACAAAGTATTCAGCCAAAGGGCCAGGGATTTAGCTCAGTGGTTCCACCACCTGCCTCGCAAATGCAAGGTCCCGAGTTCGATCTCCGGTACCAAAAAAAAAGTATTCAGCCAAGTGTGTGTGGTGACACGCGCCTGTAATCCCAGCATCTGGGAGGCTGAAGCAGGAAGATCTCAGTGAGTTAAAGGCCAATCTGAACTACACAGTGAGTTCGAGCCCAGGCTAAATTAGTAAGACCCACTCTCCAAAAAGAAAAAGTAACACTCTACATCCTTAAAATCACTCAGTCTCAGCATTCATTCAGTACCATGAGGAATAAAGAATTCTCTATTAAGCATTATCAAAAGACAAAAGTGTAACACATTTAAAGATCCAACTCATTTTTGTTGTTTTCTCATTTAGGAAAAAAAACACCACCTCATGCTATAAAACGGAACTAGCGTTCCAGTAGGCGGAGTGGAGGAGGCCAGCTTTACAGGCCTCAAGGAGTTAAAGCAAGCAGAAGAGAAAGCAGGCTGGGGTTTCAACAAGGTTTCCCTCACAGGGGGAAGACAGGGACCACCTCCCTGTCACACCCACGCCGGTGCCTGGAGGCTCTGAGCCCGGCCGGGTGGGCGGCACCAGAGACCGCTCCAGTGCCGCTGGGGTTGGCAAGCAGAGCCACTGCCCAGGGAGGTGCCCCGCGACAGACCACGCAGAGACGCTGGAGAAGACGGGGAGAGGAGGTCAGCTTCTTCCTGAGCATGGAGGTGGGTCTACTTTCCTTTCCACAGAAAGGAAAAGCACTCTTATCAACCCATTCATCCCAAATAAACCCTTGCTTTCCTCATCCATGGGCCTTTCGGCTGATAAAAACATACCGAACACTAGCCGTGGGCTGTGCTGGTCACGCAGGACTCGGCGATCTCACGAAGAGCCCCGAGGAGGAGTGAGGGAGGCTAGGCTGGAGCAAGAGGCCCCACAGGAGACTGGGAAGAAAGGGATGGGACCAACAGTGCGAGGCCCTAAAAGCCTCCCTCAGGAAGCGGGGCAGCCAAGAAACGATTCACCTCTCAAAGAAGCCGCTCCACGGCGCTGGAGAGCGACAGCCACACGAGCCGCGTACCAAGGAGGCGCCATCAGCCTGTGCAAAAGTGTGGCACAGCCTGGAATGGGTCTCACTCGTCACGTTTAATGAACTCATCTTTTTTAAAGGTTAAATAAAAAGCTTCAGAGAGAGAGAGATACTCAATATGGTCCCTAAAATGAACTTTTATTCCCAAATATTCACATACTGTGTTTTAACAAATATTCTTTTTAAAAATCAAAGAAGACATAGACTAAAAAAGAAAAGAAACCACCTACTTTCCGTTCTCGGCGGAGATGTACTCTTCCCACGTGATGGTGTTCTGAGGGGGGGGTGTGAGGGACTGCCTGCGAACCGGCTGCCGAAGGGGAGAAGAAGAGCGTCATGCATCTCACACATACAATGAAAACACGCAGGACACTGACAGGGGCGATTAGCTCATGTAACATGCCAGAGGCCCTGACACAGTGAACTATTTAAACCAGCAACGAACGTAATCTCTTCCATATGACAGCTCCACAGACTTAAACTCTAACAGACACATTGCCGATTTTTTTCTAAATCCCAGGAAGAACACTGCTATCAAAGTATCACACCCAGTCCCTCGAGGTCATACTCCTCTAAAATGCCCTTGGCACTGCAGTAGGTGCTGAACGTGGGAGCTAGAGAAGGACCGGAACTCTGACGTGAGGAACTCACAACTTAGTGGGAAAGAAAACAAATACACACATGAAGAGCTAAGCAGGAACTATGAATCTCATATGCAGTTGTTTAAAACCAAGAGGAAATAAGTGTGAACGCGCAAATCCATTTAACTGGGCCAGGGAAGAGGATCAAAAGGGCGGCCAAAGTTAGGCCTTCCAGCCCGTTTCTGAGAAATGCGAACTGGGACCAGTACAAGGTAAATGAGCAACAAAGAGCTACACTAGGGGCGGTGGTGACGCTTACCAGCGCTGAGCACAAACTGGAACAGAAAGCAGAAGCACGAGAGTTTGCATAACGCACATGAATAAGGCGTCAGTAGGACCACTGATGGGAACGGATAAAGTCCAAGACTTTTGTGACACAGAACCTGATTGGAATCTCAGCTCCAAACGTTGCTAACTGTATGAATTTGGGCAGATCGCTTTCTATTCTATACATCTGTGGTCATCTACCTCACAGCTACAAATCCGAGAAGACACAGCTTAGTGTCCATGAGGTTCAACAACAGCGGGAAGCTCCCAGATAGCCATAACAACAGAGAGGAAGGAAAGAAATCAAAGGGACTAAGTAGCCAAAAAAATCAGACAACAGAGTCCTAAAAACAAGAGTTGTCAGAGAGAAAAAGGAAAGACAAAGAGCCAGATAAAAGAGAAAACGTGAGCATCGAGGTGCTGAGAAAGCACGTTACCCCAAGATAATGTCTTACATTGACATGAGTCACTCTGGAGCAGAAGGCAATCAGGAGGCGACACATAAGAGGAAAACCTCTTTCAGACCCTCCTCTTTCCTGCTGAAGTCAGCATGTAAATTTGCCTCTGCTGCAGACAACTCCAGCTTCCTAGGATGCCGCCGTTGGCTTCCTCCCACGCTCCCCCCCTTCCCAAAGCACATTCTGGGCTGTGTACAAACTCACACCTGCGCAGTGAACACCCTGCTGCTTAGGAAAAAGCACATCATGAATGGCACTCGGCGGGCCGGGGGCGGTGGACCGTGCCCCCTGTAGGTTCTCCGGTGCTGCCAGCAGGTCGGCCAGCGTTGCCTCTCTTCGGTAACACACTTTCCCAACTGGAGCTACTGCCTCCTACTGCCCCGGTGTGGCTTTCCAGGATCCCCAAAGGAGGACCCACGCCAGCCCACTGAGATGAGAACAAGAGGACAACATCAAAGCGCACGGCGACTTCGGGCTGGTGCCAGAGATTTGGATGGGGAACTCCCGGGTGGAGGAGACGAAAGGAGAAGGAGGGGAACAGGCAGGAGAAGGAAACCCAGCAAGGGAAGCCACGCCATGTCCAGTTAGACAGGAGTAAACCTCCAGCTGAGCAGTAAGACTCCAGGGTAAGCAGACGCAGAAAAGAAAAGTAGTTTGAAAGGACTTTCTGTGCTAAGCAGATTGCGTTTTAATTTTAAAACAACCTGCAGTCAAATGTTTTGACCAGTGTAACACAGAACACCAACTTCAGACAAGATGATCAGATCCTGGCATCACCAACTGCTCGGTGACTTTGGATCAAGGATGGAACATCTCATCTGTTTAATAAGAATGTGCAGATAAATGCAAAGTGCTTACCGCAGTCCCAAGGGCACTGCGACCAGCTGCACAGGTGCTCTGGGTGCAATCTGTGCCAGGGCTGGATTCACAGGGAATCCAATGAGAAACGCTAAGGGCACACCATCGGGGATGGAAGGAGATTCGAGACATCGTCAGGACTTTGAGCCACAGGAGTTTAGAGGAAAGCTAAGGAATGTATGAACAAACTTCCGGTGAGCAAACAAACAGTGCCACTACTCAAGACAGGAAAGAAGGAAAAAGGAGGCAAGAATTCAATGAGAATCAAACATACTAGACGTCAGATGCTCAGCACGTCCTTACATGTGTCCGAGAGTAAGCAGGTCAGCAGCATCGGGCGGTGACAGGGAAAGACACCAGCTGGGTGAGCCTCTGGGTGACAGTGAGCGGCATGTGTGGCACGTGAAGCAGCAGGTTCGCATCGCGGATGCGTCGCTGATGGCGCCAGCTGCCTCCCCAGCGTCTGCCTTCCCAACCTCCGTAAAGAAAGCCTCCCACCTAGGCAATGGCTTCCCGGCACAAAGACTTTGCCCGCGTTATTCCTGCAGGTAGATTTTCCACATGACCAAACTCTAACCAACGCATCTTTATTCCACACTGACACTTCCAGCTAAGCGCTGCTGGTGCGGACTAGGGAGCAGGATGACAGCAGCAGAGCGGCCACGCGTCATCCCGCAAGCCAGCCACCTTGTGACTAAACCCCATCACGTGCTCCCCTCAGTTCGAAATGAAAACCCTGAAGATGGTTTTCTGTGACGCACACAGGAAGACTTTCTTTTTAGGTTTGATGGCCTAGTAACTTCAGGAACTCATATTCACGGACAGTTGGTTCTCTGTATCTGTAAATGCAACCAACTACAGATCAAGAACAAGAGCCAGAAGATGCACGGAGACGTGCAGGCCTTTGTCAGGGTGCCCTAAGCTGAACCACCTGTACACAGCGCTCACGTGGCAGGAGGAGATGACTTAACATGCACAGGAGGGTGTGCACAGGCTCTGCAGACGCTGCACTTGGACAGACGGCTTTGTCCACAGGGCGGCAGGCAGACGTGGAGAGACCCCAGGACTCAACCCCGGGCACAACAAACCACAAATATTTACGCTTTCCTGTCTAGATTTGAATGCAATTGAAGAAACAGCCATGATCACTCACAGTGCTTAACTCAATACTCTGAACGGAAGTGTGAAAAGCGGTGCTGTGGACTCTGGCAGGCGGCTCTGTGTGCTACACTAACTGTGCAACCTCACAGGGCAGAAGTGAGGGTGAAAACCGTAAGTTAAAGGTGAGGTGCTTAGCACAGGTCCAACACACTCGACATAGAAATGGGCACGGTTCCCCCTCTGATAACAACCGGCCGGAAGAGGGGAAACACACTAAAGGACAGGAGCGGGCATCATGACTGAAGAAAGCCCAGGCGCTTCAGCTGGGCATTTCCGGAGCACTAAATGTTACAGTCACATCTGGAAAAGAAGAGGAGGGAGAGGGCAAAATGGCCAAATGACCAAGAGCTCCTCCTAAATACCGCCTACACATCATTTCTGTCAGAAATTAAGTATCTGCCTGGAAAAAGTAAAAGCAGAAGAAATTCAAAAGTTATTTAATTACAACAGAGAACATTAATTCTGAGGATATTTACTTTCAAGAACTAAACAACTTAAAATTCTATTAAAATGTGGCCTTAAAAGATAGTAATTTGACATCTTTTGAAAAGAATTTCACATGCATTTTCTAGGGTTTGAAACTTTTGATAACATCAAAACAGTTTTTACTACTGTGTGTTGTAATTTTTACTATTTACCAACAGTAACTTTCCAGTATTATTTCTTAACCCACCCCATCTTCCCAGTATTTTAAAGAACTGCCGAAATACGAAGCATCTAGACACACAAAGAGAAGAAAGAGACTTCAACGGACCGGCTGGAGCCCAAATGTTCAGCAGAGAAGCAGGCTCGGAGTCAGGACCCTAAAATCAAGACTCTTCATCCTTCCCATTGTGGGAAGTTACCTTCTTTAAACCTCTGAGATAAGGACATTCATCTCTTTGGGCTGTGGTACTCATTAAACAGCATACAGAAAGTACTTAACACAGTGCCAGCATTTCAAAGCGGTGGAAATAAGAAAAACGTGATGAAGTAATAATGGAGTCGGTGTTTCACCTCTGCAAAGCAGATCTAAGGCGCGCTGCTCAGAGTAAGCCACTATTCTCCAGTAGGATGCGATGCTCTGCACGTGATGATCATTAATGAACACACACACAGCCACCTGCATAACTACCTGCCTCTGACCCGGCTGTGAAAGGACAGCGTATGTCTATTTCCACCTGATTTCCTTTTCAGTGCGGTACTGAAGGCTGAACCCAGGGGCACTCTCTCTGTCACAGAGCTGTATCCCCAGCCCCTTTCCTGTTCATCGTGACACAAGGTCTCACTAAATTCCCCAGGGTGCCCCGAAACTGTGACCCTCCTGTCTCAGCCTCCCACTGTACCTGGCACACGTGCTTGATTTTCTTAAACCGCCAGCTGTGACTACAAGTCCTTACATTTCATTACTGATTTACAATATGTCTTCGTAAACTAGCAAGATTTTAAGTAGCACTCATCATTAAAACGGGAATGCAGTGTGACAGAGCCTCCTCCTGCAGCTCTGCCGACTCCCCTTGTTCACGTGACACTTAACGTGGGTCTTCCCAGAAAGCTTACTGTGCAGTCCGAAACGACTGTATCCCCAAAATTCTCAACAAACTGCATCTAAATCTGTCTTTTCTCCTTTAAGGTCGGCTATTGGGAGAAGGGGGGGTTATATATTTTTCGATATATAGCTCCATGCTACTTTTTACGTGTCAGATTCTGCCCACAAGGAAATGAAGACCAGCATGCATCTACCGGATCATTCATAACTGCTGATGGAAACACAAGATGGAAAACAGTTTGGCATCTTCTTATAAAACTAAATACACTCAACAACAATGACACAGCAACTTTACTCTTGGGCATTTATCCCAGGGAGATGAAGAATTATGTTCACACTAAAACCTATAAGGGCAGTGTTTACGGCAGCTTCGATTCATAATGGCCCCAAACCTGCAAACAAGCCAGATGTTCCCCGACGGGTGAATGGTTAACAAAATGTGGTTCGTTATACTATGGAGCACTACTCGGCAATAAAAGGACCAGACTGTGTACTGCTACACATACCGTGGGTGAATTACCAGGGAATCACGATGGGGGCGGTTACACAGTGTGATGGTCTCACCGACAGAACATCCTGGAATTAACAACATGAAACAGACGGGGGAGTAGGTCTGCCTATGAAAGAGAAACACGAGGAGGCATCTTGTGCTGACAGAAATATTCAATGTCCTAACCACAAGTGCCAGGATCCTGGTTGTAATCTTGTTCTCCGTGAGATGTTACCACTGGCTACCACGAATTAACCAGAAGCTGGCGTGCTCGAAACATACAAGTGGGAACAACACAGGGGAAAGTCAACAGTGGGAACTCCAGTCTCCTTGTTGTCACCTCTGATCTTTTTATGACCGAGACTCAGTTGACAGAGCAAGCCAGCACTCACACACACGAATGTTTACACAACTCTGAAACGATCATTTCATGAAGTAGCAACGGATCTTACTGTGCGAGATGTGCTGGAGATTTTTCTATGACTTATTTATACAGATTTTTTTTTAAATGGTGATCATGGCCCATTACGTTAATTTCATAATCTACTAAGAGGACCCCTCCTACAGTTTGAAAAGGAGTGTGACAGAAATGTAGTAAAATGTTACCAAGAGGGGAATCCTGATGATGGGTATAAGGAATTCTTTGCACTATTCTATCTTATTTGTAAATCTAAAAAACAAAAAAATTTAAGAATCCACCCAATTCACCTTAGGAAGAAAGACAGTAGGAACAGTTACCGTACTGCATGTCACCCTTTAGTTCCTAAATCCCCTCCCCTTCCTGTGCGGCCACAACTCTTCGCATGCATACAACTTATTTCCAATAAACACGGGGAATTCAAAAACAGAACAGAACTGCACAGACCAAGGGATGACTGGTAAAGTAGGGCTCTGCTGGACCTTCAAAGCAGCAGAATGATGAGACAAAAGACCTTCAGCAACATGAAATAAAAATCAACACTGGGTCTCCTGCTTATAAAATTCCGTTAATCTATTAACGAAGCCTCGATAACCAAGATCGTATTCGTAAAAAAGGCCAAAGCCACTTCTTCCTTTTCTTACTCATGGTAATGACATAAAGAAAATGAAGATGCACAGAGAAACAAAAGGTAAAACCTACATAGTAAACGAACTTGAGTATATTTACATAAACTTCTCAAAGTCTAAGAATGAGCTCTATCCCCTCTCTTAGACAACTATCAATCAGAAGACGCAGAAACAATACCTCAAAATTCTGCTCCATTATGTTTCCACCTTTGCTCAAACTCTCCATCATGGCCTTATTTCGAAGAATATCTTCTTCACTGAGATGTTCTCTTCTTTTCCTTGACTCTAAAACAAGTCCATTCACCAGGTAAAAGTCCGCCAAAAAGTTTCCTACTCTTTCCTAAAATAAAAATCAAATAGTCCAAAATAATAAAGTTTGAAAAAAGAAAAAAAAATAATAGTTTGTCTTAGATTTTTAAAAGTCTAGGTAATTTCTCCATAAACATTAATATGTAGATGAAAATATTCCTCTAGTACTTGAAATGAGTAAATTATTTCATATATACTATTAAATTAAAAATACATACAACTATACATTTCCAATTTATAAAGGAAAATTTAAAACACACAAACATGTATGGCAATCTGAAAATGAGCTGAGTCCAAATAAAAATACAACTCAATATTCCTCTATAATCTACTCCCAAGTAGCCCAAAGCTATCTAAACACTATTAAACCAACAGTCAAATATCATGACTAAGAAGGAGGGGTCAGGGGTGACATTGTTCCCATTTTATAGACAGAAAAAGAGTGGAACGAAAATATACAGTTCGCCTCACACAGCATCCTCAGTGTAACTACAATTGAAGACTTGCTCAAATTCTCTCTTCTCTATCAGGACTAAACTTCACATTTCAGCTGCTTGCTGCTTTCAAAACAGGAAGAGAAAATAAAGTGGGCTTGCTCACTAATACAGTGAGGGGTTTGAATAATGGGGTGAGGATAGGGAAACACGAGTGACATAAAAAGAACAGGAAAGAGTGGTTACTTATTTCCAGTGAAGTATTCCTCACCCTTCAGCGTGGACCTTCGCCTCTGGGACTCTCACAGTGCTTGGGATTTGGGACACACACTTCACAAAGAAATCAGCAGCCCACTGAAAACAAGCTTCTCAATTCTTGCTGTAAGCGAATGACTTAGTCTCCAACTTGCTGCTGTTTTTTGGCACCCCAAAACCATGGTGTTCGGGGTTTGTTTCCAGGCGCACCCTGCTCTGGTGGCTTCCTCGCCAATAGAAAGCAGAGCGGTGTGAACCAGTTTCTACCTACAAAATGGGAACCATAATAAACATGACTGACTCTCCTCCTTACCTGCCAGAAATTAAGGAGACACCTAGACGAGAGCTTTGAGCTGCTTAGCACTACATGAATGGAAATTTCACTCTTTACCTTCTCTCGAAGAGCCATCTAATGCTGTCCAGATGAACAGCACAGACATAAGACTTAGCTAACAAATGGAGTACAGCGTAGGATTTTACAACCTGGAATCCTACGCCGCCATTTGCTGCCAAACAGGGTTAGAGAGGAAAACCGACAAATCTAGAGCTCACAGACAGAATTTACCTGTGGGTAGGCAGTAATGATCAATTTTTGAAACTATATACAGTGGACCCTGAAGTCACAATCAGTCTGACATAAAACAACTTAGATTAATTAGGTTAATGAAGATTCATTAAGCCTCTTATCTTTAGCGTGTACCCAGGTAAACATCCAGATCTCAGCCGCACTGACTTAGCTACAAACAGCCCTTGGGAACCAACTGAGTTCATAAGGGTCCACTGTAATGAAAAAGTACTTATTAAATATAGTTATCTTATTGATAAAAGTATTAAGTATATATTCCCCATAATCCAGCCATTTCCTTTCCTGCTACCTGTAACTGACAATGCAAAGGCATCTAAAAAGACAGTAAATACATCATTCCTAGAGCAGAAAACTGAACATAAATGTTTATGTAAATGTTCCAAAATAAAATAAATAAATTACAATACGTCTATAGTATGGAATACTGTATTATGCTTTTATTCTGGAGACAGGGTCTTGCTATATAGACGGCAGGAAGGGGGCTCAAACTTGCAGTTTGGAGCTGCCTCAGCCTTCAGCGTACTGGGTCGCAGGCCAGTTCCACTACACCCAGCTGTGCATTTTTAAGAGTGAAGAAGCACGGTATGCAAGGGCAAGAAAGGGCTTCTATCACATTGTAAAGAGTTAAAAAAATTTATTTGCAAAGCAATGGGTATGACACTTTATGAAAAATTAAGCATCAAACAAAAAGCTACAAATATAAATGCATAACCATAGCAAAGGGTTCTGAGATGGCAGGGACGGATGAAGGGAGAACTCTCACCCCTATGTATAAAGTTTCATGATGTTAATTACACTGCATATTAACTTGGCTAGGCGATGGCGCCCAGGTGCCAGTCAAGATGCTGTATCACGTATGAGAAACCCAAAACACAACTGAACCACAAAATGACAGACAGATAATAGGAAACAGGGAAGTGGTTCTTTCTCACATGGGAAGGGGATCAAGAGGTATAGCGAGGGGGAGGAAAGGAAGAAAAAGAGGGGGAAAGGAATTAAGATGTGTGGCGTCCATGTACGAACTCCGAACTCCCTGCAGGAGTGTGTCACTAGGTGCTGCACAGATGTACTAATACAATGCACACACACAGTGGGATGTGTGCGGGCCTGCCTCGGGAGTGGCCGACCCAGGGCCAGCGACACTGGGGCAACAGCCCAGCTCCACTGTGAGGCCACCTTCCTCTACCCACGAAGCCTGGACAGCAGAGACAGTTTCAAGAAAAAGCCATTCTGCCCCAAACTACAACACAGAAACCCGGCTGAGTATCCAGCCTGAAGATTTCTGGCTTGAGACCACACGCATTCATTCTGTTCTTAGCTTCTGCTGCCCAGACCTCAGGCGCCTGCGCCTGCAACCACACAAGCCACGTCAAAGTTTCTCCCTCTCCTCTTTCTCTTACTCATTTTGGGGGGTGGGGATGCCGGGGATTGAACTTGGGTCCTTGTGCTTGCAAGGCAGGCGGTGGAACCACTGAGCTAAAAAATCCCCAGCCCTCTCTTACTCATTCTGACTCTCAGAGAATCCTAATACAGCTTGGCTGCTTGCTTTTCCCTTGCAAATATATTCATTTCTTCTGTGTGTAATAAAAATAGAATTGCTACAAGTAAATCTTGGCTCTTACCTGACATTCTTACAGTTAAATTTAAATATTTACAAAAATATGTCTTACACATTTCATGCAAAAACTTTTTAATGTATTTTGTTTTTTCTCATTCCCATCCTCTCCTAATTTACAAATTGAATATATTGTGAACAGTCCTTCTTAGCCTCTTGTTGAAAGGTGCAATGGAAACTGGGAAAAGAATTCACAATTCACTAACGTAGAAGCTTAAACTGAAATTTAATGACAATGTTGTAGAAACATGAGCTTATTTTAAAGAGTTTATAAAGACTAGGAGAAGCAGATATTGATTAAGTAAAAGATTTACAAGTCTAAAAGTGAGCGGAAAAATATCCAGAGAAATCAAGTGTATTCCCCTTAGTGATCTGTTTTTAGAATAAAGCAGACCACATACTGGAATTAGGAAAAATTATTTTTCCCTGGAAAAGAAGGCAGCTAACAAAATCCCTCCTAACATCAAATTCAAAGAGGGCAAGTCTCTCCTCTGGCTTTTCCAAGGTACATCCCAGCTCTGCAACCAAACGTTACAATGACCTCTCTGGATTCAAGGGAGAGAGAACAAACTACCTGACATAATTCAGTAATCTACTTTCTCCTGCACTGCTATCCCATTATTTGGGTGTCATTAAATACCAATTTTTAAATTTTAAAAATCTAGATTTGCACATACTGTTTTATCTTCCCGAAAAAGCCATCCAGTTTGGGCACGTGTGAAAGAAATGGATTTGGTTGATAAAGTTGCAGAGTAAATATCGCTGCTCATTAAAATGTCAACCTCTTCTTCTGTTTCCATCTCTGACTCCTAGGGTGGGTGGAAAAGTTAAATGTGAGAATCTAGGTTTTCTTCAAACATTATTACAATGTGCCACATATGAAAAGAGGAACAATTACAATACTACAGATTTCAGGAGACAGAAAGGTTAGTTTCCTAATTATGCGAAGTGCTACTTATTCAAGACACACACATTTAAATTTCATACACCTAATATCTTCTCTAATAAGTTAGAATTATGACTAATTACCAATTTGCAAAAGCTAGACACATGAAAAACACTATTCTCACAGTTACAGATATATAATAGCATGAGATTTACCTACTACAAAACTACGTAGTCTGTACATCAATCTTAAAAGATGAAGAACACAGCTGAAGACCAGAGAAAAAATGCCCATAGGAAGCTCTTGCTTTCTTTAACTCTGTTCTGTTCTGACTTGAGGTCTTTTTTAATTCAAAAACTCATCACAGGGCCAGGGATTTAGCTCAGTGGTACCTCTACCTGCCCCTAAAGTGCAAGGACCCAAGTTTGGTTCCCGGTACCCCCCTAAAAAAGAAAAATAACCATCACTGTCATCTGGGTCTTTCCTCTCAGCGAGAGCTAAGGGGAGGAGAAGAGGGGCAGGGCTTTCATATATTTCTAATGGAAAGTAAAGAAATCCATGAATCTCGGCCCACAGTTTCTAAACTTCGCTTGATCTTAGCCAAAAGGCTGAGAAGCGATACAATTTCTAAGCTTATTAGCAGCCCTGCCTCCGGTGCCCTAGTGCTGGTACCAAATACCTGAGCAATTGTTATTTTTCAGGTGAGAAGGAAAGGAAAGTTCCGTGCTTGCCTCAGGAGAGAGGATAGTGACCGGGAGGAAGAAGCACTTACAAGGCGATGCTGTCACTGTATCTGATACAGCAGACACTGATCTGAGTCCGAGCCTGGAAGGCTGCCTGGCAGGGGGCAGTGTCACTGGGTCACAGTGGCCGCAGGCTCTATTCTCCACACTTCCCTGCACTGTGTCCGCGCCCACAACAGGCCTGTTCTGCTCTTTACCACCTAACTCAACGAGACCTGGTCCCTTCCCAAATCTGTGCATCTACAGAAAACAAGAGCAAGGCCTTGAAATCTTATCATTTCCTCCAACCTATACAAAATCTGACCTTATATGAGGTGTGAAACATATTCCTAGGTAACAAAAACTAATTCTGAACACAATTCTTTATTTAAAAAAAAAAAAAAACTGTGGTTGGAACCGGAAGGCACATGGTGCCTGCTCCACAGGGCCGGGCTGAGGCCGTGATCCCCTCACCACCTAAGCTGCCATCCCTTCCCAATTAAAGCTTTCTACCACTGCTAAAAAAAAAAAGGAGAGTATGTGAATGCGCACGCATACACCACTGTCTATGAAGACATATGCCTTCATGTAAAACACTCTTCATAGAAACATTCAGAACTCAATTCTGTACTCAGAAACTGGCTTGCACCACACGCAGGTCGCAGGAGGCCTGCTGCTGACAGACGGCTGCCCGACCGCCTGGGTACCCGGCCACTGTGCCCACCAGGACGGTGCCAGAGCAGTCCTCCCTGGGGTCTGCAGGGGCTGGGACGTGCGGGTCTCCTGCATGGCACGTCTCCCACATACTCTAAGTCATCTGTAGAGTGCTTGTAACATTTCACATAGTACCCATGCTGTGTAAATAGCTGTTATTTTGTTTAAAGAGCAATAAGAAAAAAGTCTGCACCTTTCTGCACAGGTGCAATTTTTAAATTACTTTAGATCTAACTGGTGATGGACCACACACACACGCACACACACACGCACACACACACGCACACACACACACCCCACGGACCATCCCATCCCATCCCTCTGTTGACCAGTACTGTGACTCAGCCAACACACGCTGAGCCCTACCCGATTTCCCTTTCACTGTCAAGTTCCAAACTGGCTGCCGCTCTTGGCCACCCTGCTGCTACTGCACAGTCTAGAAGGCAGAGAACGCAGCAGGCCCCGGGAAGTCCTGAACTGGGGTGGGCGGCCGCGGCCTCGCCCCGCTCACTCCCTGCAGCTGCAGTAACATAGAGGGAGGAGCTGGGGCAGCCCTGGCCCAGACCCAGCCACACTCCTGGAGTATTTATTACCCTTCAGGGGCCTCCCAACCTGGGCCCGACTGCTGTGTTTGGTACCAGAGAGTTCAAGAGAACCCAGCAGGCCTTGAGGAGCTTAGCCACATACAGAGAGAAAGCTGAAGTAAATATGTACGTAGAGCTCCGCAGTTCCAGGTTATGAAAAGTATACATAAAACAATGGTCATGTGGCAAGGGAGGATGTGGCATTAAAAAGGAGGCCTTGGGTGTGAAAATGCACAACAGGCATTCTAGGTCCAGAAGCAGAAACAACATGGACAAACAAATGAAGCTCTGAACCTCTGAACAGCCTGGCACATCTGAAAACCTGTGACGAGCTCAGGATGGTGCCTAAAATACCAAGATAAGGAGAACTAAGAACACAGAGTAAGTGCAGCACCTAGGGAGGCTGGGGCAGGAGGATCCCAAATTGAGCCCACAATGAGGAAATTGAGACCGTGAATCAATTTTTAAATTTTTAAAAGAAGCTGGGGAGCCAGGCGTTGTGGCTGCCATACACTTTATAATCCCAGCACTGGGAAGGCTAAGGCAGGAGGGACCGCTTTGAGTTCATGGCCAGCCAGGGCCACACACTTAATTTAAGGCCAGCGTGGACTACACAGCAAGATCAAAACAAAAGGACAAAACAACAAAAGAGCTGTAAAGGACCTTGGCTCAATTCTCAGTACTGAAAAAATATATTTTTTTACATTTAATTAAAAAGAAAAGAGCAAGGAAAGTAAGTTTAAAAGTCAGGGCACAGAAGAAATGTGGCACGCCACGGAGTTTGGATTTCATTGTAAGTAATGAGGAACCTTTAAAGTGTCTTTAAGGAAGGTAGGCGGGCCTCGTAAATTTGTTCTTAAAGTTTAGCACTCCTCAGAGGGGAGCCAGGAGATTGTCGAGCGGCTTCGGCAGGACTCATCAGGTCACTGCGGGAAGAGCAATCAGAAGACACAGAAGCACAAGTAACCAGATGTGTCACGTGGAAATGCGGATTCCGAGAGGCCACTCCACGGTCTGATACAACTGAATGCCAGCGCTCACCCAAGAGGGGAGACAGGGAGGACGGGCCTGGGGAGAGGACAGCCAGGTTCACACCGACGGAGGGAAGGAGGCAGGGACACCATCGGGAATCGGACAGCGGGCCGGCTCCACGCACAGGGCGCTTGGGGACACGAGGACATCTGTGAGTCCCCAGCTGTGAGGGCAGTGAAGCCACAGTGAAGCCGCGGCACCAGCAGCCTATTCTCTCAGTTTGTAAAAATAAACACATAAACGGAACATCACTATTTTAAGGGCAAGAAGAGAAAAAGACAAGAAAAGAAAGAGAAGTAAAAGCAACGACTGACCAAGATCAATTCCAAAGAAATTGAAAATTTCAAGATGTAAGTGACCAAATAATAGCAAATATTTCTTCTCGATTGGGCTGAGCAAGTACTTGGATTTTGGCAATGGACTCCCAACGATCAGCTCCTAAACCCAAAGCCAAAGGCCCGGCAGCCAGCGGTACCACTGACCCACTGGTTCGGCCAGCATCCTACACTCGACCCCAAATGTTCCCTCTTCCCCATTCACTATGTTCATATTACCAGCAACTCCCGAAATGCCATCCTACAAAGCTGTACCTCTCACTGCCTCCGCCTCCGGAACGAATGGCCGCACGAACTCCCACTGTGCACGCTCTTTCCCAGTGCTCCTTGCACGCTGGCCTCTGACCTCGCAGCTATCACTTACCATCTCCAAGCCCTAACTTCTATCTGTAAAGTGGAGAATGTCTTGTTTGATGGGTTAAAGAGTTAACGAGGAAAGCTGTCAAACACTTAGTGTGCTGCAATCATCGCTTAATACATGGTGGTAACTTTCAACATGAATACGGTAAGGGTTATGCATGGCACCCTAGGGAAGTCTACCATTTATTAAGTCTTTGATAAATGTCTGAGGAGGGAAGTGGAAGAACTATAAATGATCATTTCAACTAAGTTCTGACCAAGCTGGTGCCTAGTTTAACAGTCTGTTACACTGCCGCCTACCGCAGCAGGTTCCGGTGTCACCTTCTCTGGTTTTGAGGCCTTTGGTGAACCACCTTCTCATTCAATAAAAGCAAGCATCACTGCACTCAGAAAAATCTCCCTTCTGAGTCTCAAACAGATCATTTGGATTCTACTTCCTTATACCCGTTCTGTTAACTTCACAAGAAACATCTTTCCTTTCTTTGTCATCTCCTCTTTCTAAATCTCCATTGCTGAGTAATATCCAATTCAGCAGTGCACACACATGCAAGGTAACTGAGGCCTTGTCCACGAGTACAGCAATACGAAGGGCTTGTCTGAGGGAGACAAGGAGGTAGTAAAAGTTGTGAAGGACAATAACACCGGGCAAGGAAGTGATAGAAACAAAGGCAAAATAAGAACACTAGGGGGCAAAAAAAATCCACAAAAAACACTGATTTAAAATCACCTGTAGGGCTACCAATGACACAGAGATACTAGAGAATTTCTTTGATTTACAGCAGGGAAAGGAAACAAAGGATAAATATTACGGGTTTTCAGTGGCAGTAGTGAAGCTCCAACACGACAGAGGCCGATGATGCTGAACCGAAAGATAGGAGAGGACAGATGAAGAAAGAATCAGGAAGAACAGAGGGCAGGAACAGCCAAAGCTGTCCACATCAAGGAAACAGAGAAGTCAGCAAAATTACAGGCCAGAGGGAAAGGAAAGGAAAGGAAAGCTCTGGAAATAAATAAACTGCCTCAGTGTTATGCTTTTAACACTGATTACACAGAGGCTTGGCTAAACACACACTTTATTCTGAGTGGTAAGATGGCGTGCTCACCTCATGATGTATTCGCTGATAAACTTTCTGTTCATTGTCTAACACTACAAAAGATTCAGAGGGTGCCGCATCCCCGTTGAAAATGAAGCTTAAATCCCCTCGTTGGCACTTCATGTCAGTGAAGTCTATGAGAGTCGTGTTGAGCCTGCGAAAGACCAACAGGTAAGAAACTGACACACACAGTTCTAAGAAAACTTCATGAATTATTGAACAAACTTTGTGTCCTCAAAACTAAGATGCCAATACAATATTTCAAATTTAAACTTTTATTAAAGCTTATTTTTAAAATGTACATTTCACTTTGCTAAACATACACTTCATTAACCCAGTAAGAAAAATACAAATTTCCCCCATTGTTGAAATTTCTCACTCTCTGTACCTGTTTTTCCAGCCCCTTATTGCAGCCATCAGCGAAAGCGACTTCCACAGGGAGGCCAGAAAAGGAAAGTCGCTCTGTCCATGCCGCCCGCTATACATGCAGGGGAGTGCAGCGATCTGCGGCCGCACCCTCAGGTTCAGAACCGCCTTCCAATGCATCCAGGCTTCCTGTCTAATCTTCCAGTGTCAAACCTGACTTCATCCTTCAACTTGAGCAACCACTTCACCTACTGAAAAGCTCGGTCTCCTGTTCGACTTCCCAGATTCGGGCTGGCGTTCTCTCCCCCAGACAACAGTTCCACAGCCAAAAGCCCCAGGGGTCACCCTGCATCAAATACTTCTAGAGTCACACGGTTGCCTATTTAGGGTACTCTTCCGTACCCCAGCACTGGCAGGGTCTAACCCATGGGCTGATCTCAGACAAAATTGCACAAGCCACTACTTGTTGAACTTAAGGAAACTACTACACAAAAAGTTTTACCCGAAACTGCTGCAGCTTACACAAGGCTTCCCAGGTCCCCAGATCAGGTGCACCCTGGCTGAACCGCTGCTCAAAACACACGGCGCTTAATCAAAGGAACTGTAGGCTCAGCTGTCCAGAGGCGCTTATCACCCCCTGGAGGCCCCTAAGACTCTGCGGGAGTCCACCCTGCTTGCTGACTTTCTAACACAACTCTCAGAACTCATTACTACCCAGGTTTCTCAGTTCTCATCACAAAGTGGGTTAACATTCTTGCTTCCCTACACGGGAAAAGCGGAAATACACCAACGGATCTTGCATGCTGCAATAAAAGAATACCTAGGAGCACATGTGATTTATAGTCAAAACTAGTAACTTTTAAGCGTGAAGGTGATATTACTAATAATTACACTATGATGACAGAGGTGACCAGAGCAAAGAAGTACAGTCACCCAGCGCATGCGGCATACATACTACGCATGCCACATCCTCAGAATGCAATGCAGAAGCCTTAGGAAAATAGCGTGAGGCCTCCCTGCGCTTCGGAGCTGAATCCTAGCCCTGGTCCCACCTGGCGGCCTGTTGCCTACACTATTGAGCACGGCTCATCCTCATTGTGTGAGCGGCCCAGGGTAGTGGACGCTCATCCCCTCACTACCGAACATGGGCTGCTGCTGCTAAGGGTGAACCCATCATTCGTTTAGAAAATGTTCTCTTGAACTGTTGTACGAATCAATCTCCCCCAGCCTTTTCTAGTTCTAGACCACTACACACCCAAATTCACCTGTAAATGTAGACACTAATATGCCAAGTTTCATATATTTTACAACATACACATATACGCACACACCATAAATAGGTATTTATCGATATATAAAAAGGCCCATTAAACTACGATTACACAGTTTACCTACATGCAATGTATAAATATGCCTATATTATCAGGCTAATGATAAAGACAAAAATAAAATTATGAAATGAGTAACATCAGATCCAAATATCAATGTTAGTTATAAAAAGAAGGAGCAGGGGAAAATGAAATGAGCCTGCAGTCCTCACTGCTGGATAGATGGCTGAAAAAGAGTAGATGGGCGGGAAAGCAGGGAAGGGCAGGTTATGGGAGAGACGGGGAAAGGCGAGAGCTGGGTCTCCCTTAGGATGCGCTTCTGTCCTTAATAAGCCCAGGGTCAGAGAAGCGACCATCTTCAATCTCCCATTACGTTAGTTTCTACTCTGCCTACTGTGTGGTCGAGAGCTGAAGAAAAATTGTATCTTTCCTTTAGTCAAGATTTTATGCCTTTGATTCCTTATCTATACAGTCTCAAATGAGTAAACACATTACAGCATTTCAAAGTCATTAAACACATATAAAACCGTGGTTTCAGAAAGAAAATGTTCCTCTAAATCTCAACTTTCCTTTACTCAGAAAAAAAAAGTAATTAAATCGCCTTACCTGATATTGATACCTTGTTTGTATATTTTACATGCATCAGAAGGCAGAATTCGGGAAAGTAAAGGCACTGTATTTTAAAAAACAAAAGGTATATGTATATTTTATTCATCAGAAGGCAGAATTCGGGAAAGTAAAGGCACTGTATTTTAAAAAACAAAAGGTATAAAATGACTACCTAAATTTTGAGACATTTATAAGCTTTTAAATTAAAAGGGTAACATAGAACATTTCACTAATTCACCAAATTAAAATAATCTCCTTTAAAATAGTATTTTCCCACTTAAACATCACATAAAACAATTTTGAGCCACCTCGAGTCTCTACTACTGAGCCAACTACATCCTCTGCTTACCACATACACCAGCAGCAGTGAACGTAACACTGCGCCCAGGGACGCAGCCTGGGGCTTTACAGATGAAGAAACAACGCCAGGCAACTAAAACCTCCGCGATGAGGAACAGAGGGACTTGGGGCCAACCTGAGCCTTACGCATACTCTGGAAAATCATCAGGAAAGCAGTGCGGATAGCAGAGACATCTCTGAAGCAAGAGTAGAGTCTCAGTCCGACCCAAAGAGATACCTGGGCTGTTTGCTGTACCTCAGTTTCAAAATGTATAAAGTGGAAACATACTATTTACCGATTACATCCATATCGCAAGTTATATTCTGGTAACTTAGAAATCAAACAGATGTCATCCCACAGATAAATAAATCTGCACCCCAGGCTGTAGTAAACTGCCATTCACACAAAGACGAACCTCAGAGTTCTCGACACTAAGGCCATATCGCACATCAATAAATATGTAAGGGTTTATAAGTACGCATGAGAAATATGACATGGAGATATTATAAAATTCAGTATTTCTAAAAACGGATGATAAATGAACTTAAGGTAGAAAAAAATAAAAGTTTCGTAGAAAATTAAAGGCTATTTTTAAAAAAGACACCAAAGGAAATTTAAGCACTTTTTGGTTTTTTCAAAAGTATATTTTCTAGTTAACATTAAAGGCATACTCAAAGCATCAATATCTCTTTTATATCCTTAGAGGACAATTAATACAAAATGATTTCCAACATCAAAGACAGCTTCCTTAACATTCTGTTAGTATAAAAATAAAAAGTTTACTATCCAGAGGAAACATAATTACCCTAAGTCAAAAGATGTAAGCAATCATTTTCTGATAAAACTTTTCCTTTTTTGAACAAAAGATGGGAAAAGCAGTGATAGTACAAATCTGTAAAGGATCAAAGCTCTTTCTTCACGCTTAATTAGGCCTGTCCTACATATTTGTTGTAAAATAAAACAAAGATAATCAGAAGTAGACAACAAACATTATAAGTCCACTGAACTTATTACATGTTTTGAAGTAGTTATGATTATCTATAAAAACAAAATTTACTATCATATATCATTTTCCTCTTAGCAAAAATCAGAACAGGAAGAAGATAGAAAACAAGCTGGGATGGGCTGGGGATTTAGCTCAGTGGTGCCACCACCTGCCTTGCAAGTACAAGGTCCTGAGTTCAATCCCTGGTACCAAAAAAAAAAGAAAAGAAAGAAAACAAGTTGGGATTGAGGAGCAAAAGTCAAAGGAAAAAACGAAACTCATCAAGAAAAAATAAAAAATCTGCTAGATTTTAATGGATTAAAAAATAAGTAATATACATTGTCCCTATTCTGCAATGACTGCCTGAGCCGGTTTTCCACATTTGAAAGTCCAGGCTCAAATAATTCAAGTGCCTTCAGACTTGCTATTAACTTTGAGCCTACTTTCTCCGAAGAGTGAATATGAAGAACAGCATGAGAAAGAGTAAAGTGTACTCTTCCATCTGAAAAGGGACTTGCTGGACCTCAGCATTTCTTATTTCCCTTCACTTCCACCTTGCCTTCCTTTCTGGAGTTTGAGCCCAGGGCCTCTGCAGTGAGCTCATCCGCTCATCCCACCTCCCCCTTTGGAGGGCAGTTCTTGCTAAACTGTCCAGGAAGGGTTCGAACTTGCAACCCTCCTCTCTCAGTTTCCCAGATGCTGGCATTTACAGGCTTGCATCACCACAATGGCGTTTTCCCCTCTAACAATGGGTCTTCACAAGGGAGGGGGGAATTCAGTAAAAAGTTTATCAACAAATCTAATAATAGAAATTATCTAATAATGGAGATTGTTTTAGTTGGAAGTATCTGGGCTAGAAGCCAATGGGTTTAGTTCTCAGCAGTAACATGGCATTTCTCACAGCTTTGATGTTAAATCACTAAAATCACTTTAACAATGAAATGTGCTGACATTTTTACGTCAAAACTAAATTCTCAAGGAAGAGATACTCTTGACAAGTACCTCAGAGGTTGTGTCATGAATTCAATTAAACAATGCTTATAAATATATTTTTTTAACAACTGAAGAAAATACAATTCAGTCGTGCTTGTGTATATCTCTTCATATAATGGAAATCCCATTTTAAAAATTCTTATAACATTTTGTTCAGGAAGATAAATTGACTATGCTGGAATTTAATCTACTAACGTTTATGAAGAAAATCAGTTAAAGAGCCAACATTGTTTAGGGGATAATGCACTTTAGGACGACCACACAGTACTGGGGTCTTTCGTTTTCTTCCTGCAGGGAAGGGACTGAACCCAGGGCCCTACACAAGCTACACAGGCACTCATACTTAGCTTCTTCCCCAGCTCTGGACTTGGACCTCTGAGATGAGAAAAAACATACTTAAGCTTTCGATCAATTAGACTTGGAACTTTTCTGTTACACAGAGATACCACAAACATTTTTTTTCTGTGCATTCCAGGACACCAGGACTTCTGAATAATATACAAATTATGAAGGCAAGATAAGACTATCAGAATAACTAAACCATGAGTAATTTTGTTAAAGCAAAAACTAACTCGGTGAGCGAGAGTTTTAACAATGCAGGAAAGAACTGCCTATGTTACAGTTTAAAACTCTTAAAGTTTAAGGAAGAAGCACACAGGAAACCTCACTCATCCATGCCATAAAGCACAACACGACACAAAGTTCCAATGAGTAAAACACGTCCAGGCATGTAACGTGGTAAGATGTCTGCGATACAGGAAGTAAGAACAGCAATTTGTGGGATGGGACAGCAGGATACTCCCACAAGGGACAGGAACTAAGGAGACAGAGATGTATTCGCATGTGTGTCCACACACACTTTCAAACACTGAAAAGAATCTGAAGGTAATCACAGGAGACCTGAGCTGTGCCACTGGAAAGCAGTACCAGGAAAATCAAAAATGCCTGATCATTTTCTGTAATGTTCAAAACTATTACAGTGAGGTTTTGTTTTTCTTTTTTGTTAAGGGGGATAGAACTGAGGACCTCAAGCTTGCCAGGCAGGCACGGTGCCACTGAGCTGCAGTGAGTCTTCTATTTAAAAATCTGCACAGCCTGAGTGTAACACTGGTATTAGCCTATGAACTGCACATCATTAAGACCAGGTTTTGAAGGCTGGTAACTTTGTGAATTGGCAGAGGTCTGACTCGTACTTTAAAAAGCAGGGAGGGGAGATATGATTGTTGAAAATGTGATTAGTAGAAAATTTAGGTATTATTAGTTAAGAAGAAACATAAAAACTTTCCTCTCAAGATGTTAGAAAATTACTAACTTCAAATATAATAAAGAGAAGTGTTAATGGGTTGCAGATTTATTGCAGTATTTTTTTCAGAAGATGTAGAAGTATACCATCTGATTTCTATTTTCTAAGCGACAAACTGAAGCTCAATTTTCAAACCCAAGAACATTCTGAGAATATCATAATTTCACTAAAGATTAATGAATATCACAATATAATCTGCTTTAAATAGTTATATTTATTGATCTCCCACAGGCATAAAACTAAAATGTCCATTACTTTTCTTATTTGATAGGAGCCAGAAACACCCACATGTAATAGATAAATATATATATAATACAATATAATGCATTATATAGTAACTTAATGTAATAATTTATAAACATAAAACACATAATTACAACATATATAGACACATCACAGTTGCCCCAAAATTATATAAAATGGAGTATATTTCAAATATTTCTCAGCCGGGCGTGGTGGCGCACACCTGTAATCCCAGCACTCGGGAGGCTGAGGCAGGAGGATTGCTGTGAATTTGAGACCAGCCTGAGCTACACAGAGAGTTCCAGGTCAGTCTCAACTACATAGTGAGACCCTGTCTCAAAAAACAAAACAAAACAAAACAAAAAAAAAAATATATATATATATTTCTCAGTAGCTAATTACTACCATTACTTGGGAGGATATCAATGAGCATGCAGGTAACATATGGTATAAACGTTTTAATTCAGACACTTTGAAAAATACACAAAAGTTTATTATCTCCAAATCTTTATGGATGACGTTTTTAAAATCTTTAAGGGAGGGACTGGGAATTTAGGTCAGTGGTCTGCTGTCTGCCTCAGAAGTGCAAGGACCCAAGTTCGATCCCTAGTACCAAAAAAAAAAAAATCTTTAATGGGGAAAAAAAAAAAAACTTCAAGGTTTAATAACTAAAAAGGTCACTAATACTAAACTTCCTTTTTGGACACACAGCAAAGAAGCCAGTGTTGTGGCCAGGCCTGTAATCCCAACTACTTGGGAGGCTGAGGCAGGACAGTAAGTGTAAGGTCAGCAGGGCAATTTAGAGACCTGTTTCAAAAACAAGATGGAAAGTGGGGGGAGCTGGAGATGTAGCACCCCCTGAATTCAATTTTCCATGCCATTTTTCAAAATTGGAGGTTAGAGGGCTGGGGATTTAGCTTAGTGGTACCGCTGCCTACACAAGGGCCTGAGTTCAGTCCCTGATACCAAAAAAAAAAAAAAAAAATTGGAGGGTAGACTCATGATCTAGCAAATCATTAAATGACTGTAAAGTATCTAGGTCAAAATTAACATCTTTCATAAATAACTGGAACAATATACAACCAAAGAGTATGTAAAGACAGTAGCTGTATAAAGTCTGTAAGTAGCAAAATGACTGAAAAATGACAAAATATAATCTTAAAATAACATTAATCAAATTCTTCACATTTGGAGATCTAAGTTACATTTCTTTTTTCTTGTTTGTTTTTGGTATGGGGATTGGACTTGGGACCTTGCACTTTTGAGACAGGCGGCTAAACCTCTAAGCTAAATCCCCATCCCCTCTAAGTTACATTTCTAACTTCCTTAAATAGTCCAATAATCCCACAACTATTTCTTTTCTGAAAATCCTATATGCTAAATTATTATAATTTTAAGCCTATTTTAATGTTTAAAAAAACTGTAATACAGTTCTCAAACTTAAGTATAAAAGTTGCTGATCAAGTTGGGATAATTATGTAGAAACTACAGGCTTTATATTCATAAAACTCAATGTCATGCAAAATAACTGTCCTTAGAATGCATACCAAATCTGTTATGCTAAGGAAGGCATATTTTGTTTTGTTTTGTTTTTTGAGACAGGGTCTCACTATGTAGTTAAGACTGACCTTGAACTCACTACGTAGTACAGGATGGTCTCAAACTCACAGCTATCCTCCTGCCTCAACCTCCCAAGTGCTGGGATTACAGGCATGCACCACCAGAAGGCATGTAAATAAGCTTTTGGCTCTTGTATCTCTGCATAAATACGTATTTCAGAGTAAAACAGCCCACACTTACCCCAGCTTTGAAAATCCCAGTGAAGTTCTAGATAAAAGTCACCTAGCTGAAAATGAAATATAAGTAGTTACTACAAGCATCATAGTTAACAACATAAATACCTGCTTAATATTTTGCTATTTTAAAAATATTATCATTACTGGTGTATAGACAAAGCTAGAAAATAATACTAATTTTAATGTTCAGAGTCTGAGAAAGAACAAAATATCAAAATATGATTACTACTTAAAGCACTGCAACAGTACATGCTAGTGCAATTACAAAGAAAAATATGCATACAGTCCAGTAGGTTTAAAAAGAACCTACTGGGCTGGGGATATAGCTCAGTGGTTCTGGCACCTGCCTTGCAAGTACAATGACCTGAGTTCGATCCCTGGTACCAAAAACAAAACAAAAAAACAAAGAACCTATTAAACACATAACAATATATTTGAAACTGACAGGCATTTTAATTCATATTAACAAAAATTCCATTTCTCAACAGATAGCAAATTAGTCTTTCCTATTTCAAATACTGAAAAAAGTAAACGCAGATAGTAGATGTTACAGCAACCTGAATGAAAATGGGGGGGGGGGCTTTCTGGGTATCTTCAGATCTATAATAAAAGTAAAGAGATCTCATGCACCACACCTGCCTAGCAAGTGCAAGGTCCTGAGTTCGATTCCCTCCATGGGGCAGGGAAGGATAAGCACCCCAAGAAAAGCCAGGCTCTGGCACTGGTCAGAGCAGCTCTAAGGAGAACAGGAAACAAGCGTCTCCCGTCAGCTTACACACCCAGTTCTCACTCCCAGGACTGCACCAAAGAGTGGTTCTCATGGGGAGAAAAGGCAAACGGCTGCTGCGAGCAGAGCAGCTTCAACTGGTAGAGAATCTCGCACGCCAAAGGAGAGCTACTGCATTCACTAGGACTCTTATCACTGAGCGCTTGTCTAATTAAAAGTAATCAATCTTTATCTTCCTATTCAAAGAAAATGGGTGCTTCTATGAAGATTACATTTGTACATTATAACCACAGCATTTTGTTATTTCAATTAGTTATTAATGCTTAAAACTATACTTAAAATATTCTTTAGCTGAAAAATGAAAAAGAAATCAGCTCACCTCTTTCAGAGCTTTTAATAATCGAGGTCGCTTTTCTTCAACACTTTCCCTGGATTGCTGCTTAAGCTTCCTTAAAAGAGCTGTAACTAAAATTTAAATTTAAAAAAAGTAAAAAGT